ACACACACACACACTAACACTAACACTACGACTCTCTCTCTCTCTCTCTCTCACTCTCTCTCTCTCTCTCTCACACAAACACAGACACACAAATACGTACAAGTGTGCACACACGTACACACAATACGCGATGTAAGAGTTCAGTACTTACACTAACAATACATTTTGTAAATGGTGTAGAAATATGCAAAGTACATTGGTCTGCTGTAAAAAGTTAATTCATTTCGCTATTCATACTTGTATAACAGTAGAAAACCAATTAATATTATTATTTTGATCACTTATGTGGTCTTCGGTAGTAAATTGTAAGAGATGGTCATCATTTCGATATTTACACACGTATCTTGCCCTATAACTTGTAAAAAGTGATACAATTGAAATGGTCTGTCTCTTGACTCTCTGCCTCCCCCTGCCTCTTCCTCCCTCTTTCAGAAACAATCACTCACTTGTAAACACACACACACACACACACACACACACACACACACACACACACATACGCACACACTCTCGAAATCACACATAGTTACATGCGTTTACTACAGATATATTATGTACATACTCGTGGCTAAAGAGACTCATATAGTGCATGCTCATAAACAATGAACATTATTATCATATTCATATCATATTCGGTCAGGGCAGGAATGGGTAATTTGGTCTTATGGACTCAAACATACTACGTTAATGTAATTCAATATCCATACAATCATCATTAGTAATAAATACAGGTATTCCAACATTTAATTATTATGCCTACACAATCGAGTCCAAAAAATTCACTCATTATTAACAGATCTTCCGAATCAAACACTGGAGATCATCTCACAGTCCGATCCTTCGTCACTGCTGGCTTCGATCCGCGTGCGATTACGTCTTCGGGCGAGCTCCCGTAGTCGCGGTGGGCGTGTATCTTTGCCTGCCAGAGTGGAGACCCCGCCCTCTGGAGCCCCGCCCCCTTTCCCGCCGGTGGTACTGCCAGTGACGCTGACACTGATGCTGTCACTTCTCCCTCCACCACCTCCGGTGCCGCCGCTGTTGCTGTCCACAACGTCCTGAAGGGGGAAGGAACAGGTGTACAGAATTAGAAAAGGCTATGGTAGCGGGATTTTTAGTCGACATATTAAGAAGCTGCTTGTTAAATAATAAAAAAAAAACAACAACAAAAAACACATGAAAAAAAAAACAAAAACAAAAAAAGAACACCTCGCCAAAAACAAACCCCAACAACAAACAAAACAACCAAAAACAAACAAACCAAAGACAAACATTAGCATCGAAACAAATTTATACATTGAAGGCTCCCGGGTTATACGCAACACGCGCATTTACTACTGAGAAAGAATTAAAAAAACAAACAAACAACACAACAATATTACGAACAAAATGCAACGTATCACACTAAATATCAAGGGATACAGTGCATTTTGAGAGAAAAAAAAAGTTATCACAACTTAGTAATATTATAAGGTTACGGAGACGACGTGGTTTTCCGGAAATACCCAGGATTGGCGTTTAATGCGTTTTGCAATGGAGCCCTTCACTAATTTTTTCTTTGGCCGTTTATCCCTCCGCTGGAAAGTTCGCTCTGCAGTACTTCACAATAACTCTATTGGCGGCTAATCCATTACATTTACCATCTCAGTCACTTAAAGAGGGGATGGGGTATGTATGTGTGTGTGTGTGTGCATGTGTGTGTATGTGTGTGTGTGTGTGTGTGTGTGTGTGTGTGTGTGTGTGTGTGTGTGTGCGCGCGCGAGCGTGTGTATGTGTGTGTGTGTGTGTGGGGGGGGGGGGTACAATATAGGAGTCTTGGAGACGCATGTTGTTATCAAATAGATACTGAAATCTGCTCGGTACAAAGTTAAAAGACTCCTCAGACTGACCACTCGCCTCCTTCTCCGAGAGAAAAAGAAGAAAAAGGAAGAAATGAAGAGAAGTAAAGAGATATAGATAGATAGATAGATAGATAGATAGATAGATAGATAGATAGATAGATAGATAGATAGATAGATAGATAGATAGATAGATAGATAGATAGATAGAGACAGAGAGAGAGAAAGTGATTGAAATGAAAGAGAGACGTGGAGAGAACGACAGCGAAAGAGAGAGAGAGAGAGAGAGAGAGAGAGAGAGAGAGAGAGAGAGAGAGAGAGAGAGAGAGAGAGAGAGAGAGAGAGAGGGGGGGGGGTTAAACGTGTCAGCCTGAGTTTACATAACCCAATAGACTTGCTCAACTGATTGCGTAATAAGCTGTACATTTACTCTTCTTATTTTATGCCTTGTTGTCACGTTTCGATTTTCATGAGCAAAAGAAGATGAGACATCTATAAATAATCTATTAATGTATAAAAAGTTGTGACATCAGGGCTAGTTTTGTCATTAGCGCCCTGTTTTAAACAGGTTTTTGAACGTGGCCCCAAGCCCTAACAGAGTTTGCCGAAATTGTTGTCTCTAGAGATATGGAAAGGCTTTCCAATGGGCCTCTTTTTAAACAGTCTCCAATTTCTAGATCCGGGCGCTGGGATAACTTACATTGAGTTAAAAAGACATGTCAATGTCGTAATTCAAGCATACAAAGACTGGAAGGCCTTAGGGTTAGACATGTGCGAGAGATCCCTGGTGCAAATTCAAGATTTATTCTACTGTGATGCATATAAATATTTTTGTTTCGTTTGTTTGTCTGTTGTTGCCCTTTAAACGTACAGCTAAACTGGCAGTACTTCTGGAAAAAAAAAATTATGTGTTGTTACAATAAAGGAAAGTGAAATTATCAGTGACCAGCGTTGATTGAAAAAGTTTGATGATGCTTCCAACAAAAAAGTATCTGTAATCATGTCTGATGTGTTCGAACACCCATTCCTTCCTGTAGTCAATCTTCCTGATCAGCCTAGTTTTTCTGATCATGTTGTTTGCCATGAAGCCGGCCATACCATGTATGTTGCTCTCTGTCTTCCTCTGCTTTTCTTTCCTTCTATCTAAATTGATGATCAAATCTCTCAAAGTATTCAGCTGATTTGAAAAAAAAATTCTGACTCCTACTGTACGGCCCAAGAGAACTATGTACATATGTGTGAACAGTTTCAAGGCAAAACTGACATACTTCAAATTGTAACAGTTACACAGTGCGGTATTTTTTCAAACACTGAAAATATCTCACTTGATACCAGGGTGCTTTCTTCCAAAGCGTAATACATGTATAAAATTCTATAAACACGACAAGTAAACAAATCACAAGTAAGGCAATTAGTCGTTGCCTCAGAATTATTTCATACAAAGCACACTTAAGTACCCCTTATACAAAATAGTTCCGAGGCAATGCAGTGTCAGTGAAATGTGAAACAACCGAACATCTTAGAACATCAAATATACAATAAGTTTTAAATTATCCTTAACTATTTATGTTTACTTGATACTGACTCAGGTTTCAATACGACCATACCAAAGGCTGCTCTCCTATTTATAAGATCCTCCTGCCCGCCCCTTTTCCTTCCCTCCATCCTCGTACATTATTCCCACAAATGCCCTGGTTCGTTTTACAAGATCACCCTCTACTTCTCATCTCTCCATATTTTTGTTTTCAAAGAATTTCTCTCCTCCTCCCGACCCCCCCCCCATCCCCTACATTTCACTCTCCTTCTAATGCTGTTTTCTCCAGGCTAGATGGGAATCGGTGCACCGTTAAACCACGAAACTTCACACAGTCATCTCTGGATACAAAATATCTCCATATCGCAACAAGGCGACGCAGGCAATTTAGGAAGATGTTTCCGGTGACCCATGCAATCCGCTCGTATATTTCGCAACCCCCAGTTCAACTGGGACACGAGATTCAAACGCCAAGCAATATTTCCGGTCCTATCAAAGGAGCGCATCTTTTTGTTCACGCAAACGTTGTTTCGGGAGATGCATTGTCGTCAAATTCTATGAGCAAAAATCTTTTCAAAACATCCCTGCATTTACCGCAATAAAACCGCACAAAAGTGGAGTGTCGACGCCCGAACATTCCAATATTAAAATTAATCCCCACCCATATTCGTGGATCAATAGCAGTTTGGGGACAAATCCTCGCTCCCATATTCCTTATTCATTAATCAAACCTCACATTCGCCCTCTCTATGCCTTTTACCCCATGAAGTTCCAGACGCTAACAAAACGAACCGATTCGACCACGCATGTGCAACGACATAAAACTGGCCAGCCGCAAGACGTAGACCCATAGACGTCCAACGCTCTAATTGATTCCTTTCCACCCGGACACGCATATGATCGGCCCCTTTCAAAAATGACCGGCTCGTAAAAACCGGCCATATTTATATGCGAGTGCCCAAATTGCTTCCCCAGCGACGCAGCAATATTTGCCCCAAGATGCCCGGGAGTTTTTATAGTTTATTTCCGAGGAAGGCAAGCAGAGGCCTCCGAGGCATAAACTGCAAGGCTGGATGATCGCCGCCGACTCCTGCTCACATCGCCCGTTCCAAGGATCGCCTTTTACAGCCACTTCCTTTACTTCTGTCTGCATATCGCTTTCTTCTGCTTCCTTTGCAAACATACAACTGTTCTGCCTCCCTCTCTAGTCAAAAGCGTTCACTTTGTGTTTTCCAAAATTCATTCTCGAGCTGTTCATTTTGTGTCCCCGTAAGGAGTTTTTTTTCCTCTAGGTTTTGAGGAGTGGAGGCTGCTCTTTGTATTACGAACAAGTTGTGCTCATAAACATTTGTTGTACCGTATATTTTTGGCCACTTTACCGTACACAGAAAACACTCATTCAGAACTATTGTGTAACACATTTCTTTCCTGATTGCTTACAGCAATTTGTTTCTGAAATAAACAAAAGCCACTGCTTCAAACGAAAGAGATAAAAGACTCTTTAACCACTGAACAGAATTAATTCTCATCGAACATACAATATCGAGACCATAACATTTTTAACGCATTAATACATACACCATCCATTTTTCATTCGCTTATTGTTGCAGATTCGTGTTTCTGCTTTTTTTAAAGCTATGGGACGGAAGGTAAAAAGGGAGGGTATTTTTTGCAGCGCTTCCCCTCTCATATCGTAACGAGGTGGAAAAAAAAGAACCAAAGATTTGAATTTGAGTGAAAATATAGAAATGCTATGGCAACTTTGAAGATTCAATTAAAAAAACCCCAAGCGTTTTGCAAATGTTACACTTCTGTCTTCTCCAACGTTTCCTTGTGGAGAGATAGAGGGAGAAAGAAAGAAAGAGAAAGAAAATTGGAGACAGAAAGATATATATATAT